AAAACACTAAACTCTACGCTGGTGTGTCACTTGTAATTTTTAACAAACCTCTCTTTTGACATTTTTGTGTTTTTCTTTTCAGGCTGTCGTTCTTCTGGGGCATCGGGATGAATTTCTACATGGAAATTGCCAAGCTGAGGGCAGCCAGGAGGTTATGGGCTACGCTCATTAAAGAAAATTTCCAGCCCAAGAATGCCAAGTCTCTCCTCCTGCGCACACATTGCCAGACCTCAGGCTGGTCTCTCACTGAACAAGTAAGTATGAATTGTTTTATTGATGCTCTCACAGTACGAGGAGATAATCGGCCAACTTTGAGATCCTGAATTGTTAGATTTCGAAATCTGCAAATAAAGACAGAAATGTAAAATTGTAAATGAATTAATCAGTATTAATGTGCCATGTGACCGCTCTCAGGATCCATACAACAATGTGATCCGCACGGTGATTGAAGCCATGGCCGCTGTGTTTGGGGGGACCCAGTCGCTGCACACCAACTCTTTCGATGAAGCTCTGGGCTTGCCCACCGTGAAAAGCGCTCGCATCGCCAGGAACACTCAGATCATCATCCAGGAGGAGTCGGGCATCCCCAAAGTTGCAGATCCTTGGGGAGGCTCGCACATGATGGAGGCTCTCACAGATGATGTCTATAACACTGCTTTGAAGGTTGGTCGTAGGGCCGAAGGCCGTAACCAGAGCGGTGAATTCATTATCGATTAACCCTTTCCTCCGATCCATTTTTGACCTGAATCTTGTATTATGCAGGTTTTATTTCTCCTTTGCTCCAAGTGCTCTTGCTGTAGCTTTAGAACAGCAACACATAATCATGAAGAGATTCTTTTATAGCCGGTCTTTTGCTTTTTATAGTTTATTAAAGACATCGAAGAGATGGGAGGCATGGCCAAAGCGGTAGCCGAGGGAATTCCAAAGCTCCGTATTGAGGAATGTGCTGCTCGTAGACAGGCCCGCATTGACTCAGGTACTGCATAAAGGTGACTTCTTTATAAAGCCTTAAAGCCTCTCTTTCTTTAACCTCCCTCCTGACTTTAATTACTTAAAGCAGTCCTAACATTTAACCTGCCCTCTGCCTGTGCTG